GGGCAACCTAGCACTCCCTCCTCTATTCCCCCCCCCCATAATTACGACCCTGTGAAGTATGTTGGACTGAAACCATGACTGCTAGTGATCTTCCATGGCCAAGGGTGGACTTGAACATACTGTAGGTCTCCCAGGTCCTACTCCAACCACTGCACTCCACTGCTGCTAGTTATGTCTTCCTTTTAAAAAGCACAATAAAAGATAATGCCTGCTTGGAATGAAACTCAGTCCATGGTGACTTCCTGGACACATCCAAGCAGTTTTCTTGGCAACATATGGAAGAGGTTTCCACTGCTTTCTTCTGATAGGCTTCTTCAACTTCTCATTCTAACCACAGCCCTTGGAATTCCTGATGGTCTCCCATCCAAGTATGGACTAATCTTAACTCTGCTTAATTTCTTGAAATCAGAAAGAGTCAGCTAGCCTAGCTGGGAAGCACATTCATAAAAGTAATGGAATTATATTAAAGTACCTGCTTTCACTATAATGTAGAAAGATCATGGAAACTCATAAACCTGAGCAGGTGTCATACCTCCCTGGGCCTGAACCAATAGCAATTTTTTTAGCAGCATGCTACTAACTCCAATCAAGGATCTGTTAGCAGCAGTAATGGCATTTATTTGTAATGGTAACTCAGAAGGTATATAAGAAAGTTGATGGCTGAGATATAACTTCTTCAAGCTTTATTTCTTTTATCCCTTCGTTCTTCAGTTTTCAGACTGCAAAATTGTTCCTTTCCTTGTTTCTCACTCTCACTCTCAGCCTCAATTTCCATTCCTTTCTGCCAGGGCCCCAGGGATTATAAATAAATTATTGGGGCTGCTACTCAGGGCACAGTACAGAATCATTGGACAATCACCTTTGGTCAAGAATGAGACAAAGCTGGTTCTGATTAGTTCTTTTTAACTCAGGTTTAATATGAATTACCACGGTATTATTTTTCAGTAGTCCACGCATTGGCAAAATGCCACACAAAAGAGCAAAATGATTACTTCCATCAGTGCCCTAAAACGTTGGGATGAGGTTATTCAGATTTTCTTTTAAAATGGAGAAAGTCCATCATGAGATGGACAGTCCTGGCTATATTCCTCTGTGTCTACTCACTACTGCAGGTGAGCCAATCCCTGTGCGTTTTCTGTTTCAGATTGGAGCATCTCTGATGTCAAGCAATGTGGGGAGTGGCCTATTTATTGGACTAGCAGGCACTGGAGCTGCGGGAGGACTGGCAGTTGGGGGCTTTGAGTGGAACGTAAGATGATGTTGCTTTTTACAAATGGGTGGGTTTGGGAGCTTCTGTGTGGGTTTGGTCAAATTATTGGGTTGCTAAGCAGCACGGTTGTAAGGTACAATGTCATGTGGCCACGCCAACTTTAAACAGCAGTTCTGGCAGTCTCAGTTGCTGTTGTTAGGTGAATCCCAAACCGTCGCTGCGTCCCGTGGTCACGTGATCAGCATTTGTGACCTCCTGCCAACTTCCCCATTGGCTTTGCTTGTCAGAAGCTGGCAGTGAAGGTTGCAGACAGGAATCATCTGACCATAGGACGCTGCAACATTGTAATTGCAAGCCAGTTGCTAAGTGCCAATTCACAATCACGCAACCATGGAGACGCTGCAACAGCCCCAACTACAAGACCCAATCATAAGTACTCATCATTCAGTGCCATCATAACTTCAAATGGTCACTGAGTGAGTGGATGTTAAATGAGGACTAGCTGTACTATAGTTTCACTGTCCATTTCAGTAAGTGTACATGCTAATGTTTAGAAGCAGTACAATATAATCCATTGTGTTATGTCACAAAATATGTACAAAAGGGGCAGAGCTTCCAGTGTGACAACACAATTAATGTATTTGAATGGAGAAGTAATGTCTTCTTTGGATTATTGTTTTTAGCAGATTGATATGGCCTGATTCATTCATTGCAGCAGAGTTTTAAAATATTCTAAAGACTTCTTTTGCACATTTGTACTTTTAAGTAACAGCATATGATTTAATTTTAATCAATTCCATGTGATTATAATGATTATATAATCTCTGTGGTAAGGAAAAATTGGCCCCATGTTGAAAATCCTGTGAAAAGAATTTACTGAGCATTCGAGAAAAGGGCTAGTTCTAAAGAAAAGGCAGCTTTCTACTGAATAGCCAGGAGTGAATTCTTCTTGAACTGGCATTTTAAAACATACTGAACATAAGCTCATGACAAATTCAGGTTAAATTGTGTTGCCCCGGCACAGGTCCCTACAAGATTGTGACCCTTGACCCCTGCCTTTGTAGCAACCCAAGTGATCTTAAAAGCCAACTTTGTCTTAGCATTGTTTGAAGGCCATGACTGTTCCATGCTTTGAGTAACGGATGTTGCTTGCAGTTGCAATGCTTCACTCATAGCACAGTCCTGAGGGATGTCTGAACTTCTCAGCTGCCCAAAAACTGCAGCTCAGATGAATTATTTCTCTTGGTGCTAAAGGTCACCAAATAATACATTTCCTCGCACAATAAAGGGCACCCTTACTAGAACAACAAAGAAGCAAGACTGGATTCCAGTAACTTATATGATAATGAATGAAAACGAGATCTCCAAAAGCCAACACAGTTCTGAGCTATCAGCAGCCTTTACCTTTAAATAGCAAAAAGAAAGATTTCCTCAAGTCAAACTCAGTTCTATGTGATTGCGTGGACCCTTCCATATAACTTGCCTAGCAGTAAAATGGAAGCCATTGCCATCTTCTGGAATGTTTTTCAACTTCCCAGTCCAGCTTACTGTCCTGGGATTTTCTGAGGCTCTCCTCTTCAAGAATTAGCCAGGTCCGAGCCTGCTTAGGTTTGAGAAACAAGCAAGGTTTTCTAGGCACTGCTACCTGCTTGCTTGGCATTAAAACTATCAGTACAAGCCACCAAGTTAAAGCCTCATCACTTTATCTATATCTTGAAAACCTGACAGAAATAAATTAAAAGTTCAAGAGAAGTGGTGCCTAAAAATCAACAGAAAAAGAAAATGGTTTTATTGCAAGTGAAATGAGTTTTTAAAAGTTTGAGTGAGTTCATTTTAATCTTAGATTTCCCAAGGCACTATACATCTACTTAATTAAGATCTTTTGACCTACCCTCAGTGCTTTTTATGTTCTAAGAGATGTGTATCTGCCATTCCTTCAAGGAATAATTTCTCTCATCTACTTACCGTCACTTATATTATTTGCTCTCATAATTTTTCTATCACTATTTTCTAGCAATAAATAATTATATACACTGTGTACATTTGCTGTATCTTTCTCTTTTCTTTCTGATAGGCCACCTGGGCATTGATAGTCCTTGGCTGGATCTTTGTACCAGTTTACATCTCTTCTGGAGTCATTACTATGCCAGAATATCTGAGGAAAAGATTTGGAGGGCAAAGAATTCAAATCTACTTATCTGTACTATCCCTCATTTTGTATATATTCACCAAAATATCAGTATGTATCTAAGAGAGAATTGTAGCCTTGGGACGAGTGTTTGACTAAGTACTCAAGGGTGTTTGCTTGGATAAGCCGTCCCACTATTCTCAATTACAGTTAATTGTTCTACTAGAGCATGTCCACATTGCCACTGCTTCCAAATCCCTCAAAAGAATTTTAAAGATGATTTGCTGCCCTTGGGACTCTGAGAACAGAGAGCAAAAATCACTGCCCCACTCTGAACTGCCCCAAGTCTTGCTGGAGTAAAAATCTGTTCACCTGCATTCCATCCAAAAGGCAATAAAATAAATTGCTTGCATAGCACCCATTGTGATCTACCTCCTTGTTCCCTCTTGCTGTATTCAACGGGTTGTATGCAACAGAAAAAAGGGAAAAATGGCTTCTATGAGGGAGAACTGAAAAGGCATCAAGCCACCTTTCTCCTTCAATGACTTGAAGCCCAACGGTCAGGAGGCATGGTGAGGCATGAGTTCCTGCAAAAAGGGAAATCAAAAAGTTGCCATTTCCCCCCAAAAGGCTAGTTTTACAGGGTTTCAAATACACTGCAACTGAGCCAGAAATAAATTAGAATTACAGGAATTAAGGAATTACAAAGAACCAGGGCTACTTTCCAACTGGTGGAATGTTCCTGTGTGGAAATGTCCTAGATGTATACTCTGGAATTAGTATCCCCATTATATCCTGTACCATTACCGATGCTAACTTTTAGGGCCCTTTCCAGCTTTCAAGGATACACTGAGCATTATACTCCACAATGGACTCCTTTCCTCAGAGAATGACGGTAGGCTAATGTGGCAAAAAACAATGGCAAACACAGGGCCATAAATGGGAATGCCACTGCCATTTTCTCATTAATGGCATGTCTTCTATGAGATGTTAGCCCAATGCATTGTGGGAAATTTAAATTATGTCTAGGTTTATATATTCCAACCTGACAGCCTCATGTAGTTAAAGATATAGCCAGGAAAATGAAATAAATTGTATCAGTGATGAGTCCAACAGCAGCCCAGATAGGTGCCAGTATCAAAAGTGACACTCTTTGTGGTTTTGGCATCTGCTTTACTTGCAGGAGTCTCTATAACAACTGAGCACAATTAATACAACTCTCTCTCTCTTTCTCTCTCTTTGCATTTGTTTCAGACGGATATTTTTTCTGGTGCACTTTTTATCCAAGTGTCCCTGGGTTGGAATCTCTATCTCTCTACTGTGATCTTGTTAGTAGTGACAGCTGTCTACACCATAGCTGGTAACTATGCTGTGTAATAATTATTTATTTAATTAACTTAATAACTTAACTATTATTTTGAATGTGAAAAGCAAGGAATTCTATTACATACCTCAGCAGTCTGGGAATCGACGCTTATAACATCCATTGATAGAATGAGGCTACCATGTACCATATAATCATGAAAGGAAGTAAAAGAAGTGTACAGAAATCTCAAATATTTGGCATTTGAAAATTGAACATTCACAGTGGCGTCACCGATTTGAGGATCAACCCCATGTGATCCTCAACTATAAGTTTTCTCAGGAATTTTATTTTTTAAGCAACTGAGCCATGAAAAGCTGCAGTTTGGACTGGACTTTGAAGATAGAGAAAAACATGCTAATCTCTTTTCCTCTGGGCTATTTTTCTTACTGAGGATATTCATGGTTTTCTCCCTTGGGACAAGACAATAACAGCAAAGGAACCATTTTGAGCGGGAAAGCAGGACCCCCCTTGTGTGGGTTACAGCTTCCTGCATCTGTAACTTTAGCTTAAATAACAGAACAAAATGAAAATGGCCACTTTACTGAAAGTCACAAATTTACTCCCAAACATGCACATTGTCTTTATGCAGCTACTTACAACAGATATTGCATTCATTTTATGTTGTTAAAATCTAGATACACTTTGCTATTAATAATTTCAAAGCATGTTTATTTTATTTATTCAGTAGAATTACTATGTTTCTCTGTGTGTTCTTTATTTTGTTTACAGCTGTTTGTACAGCAGTATAACAATACATACCACCTTGAGAGCTGATCCTGGTCAACACTACTTTATTTTCATGAAATGACCCAAGTATTCCATTCTATAAGAGCACTCTGTGAAAAGAAAATACATAAGTAGTGGCCCCAACTGGTATCTGGGTTCTGAAGTAGCCACCAGAGTACTTCATCACAATGCACCATTTTTCTTTCTTTCCCCCCCCCCCACCATGAAAGGTTATCATTATCATTATCCCAGAATGCAGGAGCATCCATGGGGTAGGAGGCCCAAAAATGTCAAAATGCGTCTGCATGACGCAAAAGGAACAGGACTACAATTGTGTGGTCATGGTTGACATCTTGACATTTTTTACTTTCTCCCATGCATATCCTTGCCTGAATAAGAGTAGATAAGAATGGGATAATGCAGCTGAAGAGATATTAGCTTCCTAGCATTCTTTTCATATCAAATTAAAATTGAACAAATGCACAAAGTTCTTTGTTATGAAACTAATACACATAACATATAACTAATGTCAATATGCTACTTTGATCGTAAATATTTAGAAGCATTTGTGGCTGAATCGGTCCTTTGTTTCTCTTTCTATAGGTGGTTTGACTGCAGTTATATACACAGATGCCCTACAGACTGTAATCATGGTACTTGGTGCTTTGGTTCTTATGTTCATAAGTAAGAGGAAGGAATTGTGTTGCTTACTTTTTTAGGCTATGCTCTGTGCAAACATATCTAAAATGAGAAATATAGATTTCTTGGGATTTCCTTTTGAGTAGGTCTTCATAGGATCGCAGTATGTGCAATGCTTACCTGTATATAATTTGTGTTTCTGTTTTAAACTATAACCATACTTTTAAAAGAGAGTGTATCAGCACCAAAAATCCCTCCTATTCAGAATGCCAGATAAGATTCAAGTTAACGCAACACTGAAGACAAATGCTTATATCTCAAAATGAGCTGGATCTTATGGTTGGAATAAAAACAATTTTTTTTTTTTAACAGAGAGAGGGATATGGACTAAAACATAGTTGTTTCTTCAGCCTGATTAATCTCATTGTCACACAATGACTTAAATGAGTATAAAATCCTATGTTATCCAAGCACTGATCAAACAAATGTGATGCTATAACGCTTCTAAATTTGAAACACTGTCATTATGAAATATTCATTCATCAGATCAGAATGCCTGGTCAGGAAAGAAATTATGCTCATGGCTCAGTTTTGCAGAGAATTACCAGCACGGTAGTAATTGTATCCAATAATCCAGAGACTCTAGCCATATAGTAATATTAATAATTATAATTTAAATAATATTAAAACAATATTAATTATTTTCTTAATAATGTTGCTATTATAATGTGTAAGTTTAAATACATGGTTTACCATGTGTTACATATCATATTGCAATGCTTACCTGTATATAATTTGTGTTTCTGTTTTAAACTATAACCATACTTTCAAAAGAGCATGTATCAGCACCAAAAATGCCTCCCATTTTTCAGAATGGCAGATAAGACTCAAGTTAATGCAACGTTGAAGACAAATGCTTATATCTCCCTTCCATCACCTCATTCCCTCATGTATGGGCTATTTATTAGAGAAAAACTAATCCCTCTTAACAAGCGCAGCTTCCAGTTTGGCTCTGAGAGAGTAAATCACTTGGAAGAAATGAATGAATGAATGAATGAATGAATGAATGAATGAATGAATGAATGAATGAAATAGGCCATTTTTCTTTTCAGGCTTCGAGAAAGTTGGGTGGTATGAAGGACTGCAAGAAAAGTATAGTAAGGCAATACCCAACATCACTGTCCCAAACACAACTTGCCACCTGCCACGACAAGATGCTTTCCATATGATGAGGGATCCTATCACTGGGGATATTCCATGGCCTGGGCTCACATTCGGCCTCTCAGTACTTGCTCTCTGGTGCTGGTGCACTGATCAGGTAAAATAAATCTTTCTCCGCTTCCCCTTGAACTTTAGATTTATGACTCACTTCCACAGAAGGATGTTAAGAATGCTTCCTACTGAATAATACATATGGAAAACATTACGATGGAATCAAAAACCCATTTAATTTTTCAGTAAAGATGCCCGAGCAGGATGTGAGAACTCTCCTACCTTATGCTTGCAGCATCAAGAATAATTTGTACCACACAGATTTTAGCCACATGTTAGAAAAGAGGATAAAGCCTCCTGTTGCAGGGCAGGGAGAGAGAGAAACAATGAAATACACAATATAATTGTTGACCTTTGGGACTACCATAGTTAAAGGAACAAATTCACCTTTATAGCCATAGTCCAATCAACTATACATTACAGTGAAATCTTGATTTAATGGACCTTAGTGCAATGCATTTCATGTGCAAATTTCTATTGTATTTACATTGCCAAACACCATTTGTATAATGAAGTTATTATATAAATAATGTAAAACACACAACTGATGTCAATTCCACCTTGCCTGCTGCAGCCAGCAGAACAGTCAAATATATTGGTCAGAATGTTCAAATTCACAGTTGGGACAAATTCATTTATATCCAGTTAAATGTTACATTAAAATGTGTGTATTCCAACAGAATTAATTGTGTTTTTTTTAATATTTGTATGTTCTACGTATTTATTAGGCAGATACTTTCTCTTAATGTTAGAGGTTGCCTCTCACAAGTACTGGGAACTCTATAGAAATACCTAATTTTTACTGACTGGCAGGTTTTCCACCAGTTAAATTAAAACTGCTTCAAACAGTTCAATTTCTTTTCTCTGGCCAAAGAAATGTGAAAAAAACAATTCCCACCAAGTTTCTCTTTGCAGGTCATTGTGCAAAGGTCACTCTCAGCAAAGAGCCTCTCTCACGCAAAAGGTGGATCAGTATTGGGTGGATATTTGAAAATCTTCCCTATGTTTTTTATTGTCATGCCAGGAATGATTAGCAGAGCTCTTTTTCCAGGTAAGCTCCTTCCGAGTGTGGGAAAATCATGTGTGCCTTTAGACATCATTTTTCATTAACTGGCCAGCAATCAATAATGTAGAGAATCATATAGCCACATGGTGGAGCAAACATTACTAGGTGTTTAGTCATGGGAATATACAGTTTGGCTGAAAGCAGAAGAAAAGGTCCTGCTGGAGCAACCAAAGAGATGTTTTGTGGAAGCTTACATAGTTCCACATAAGGAATAGGCAACCTGTAACTTCTGGGTGCATCCAGTCCCCAGAGCACCCCGGAATTGCACTACTAAAATTTGGCCATAAAAGGCTATTTTCACCTATGCATTTTTATTTCTTCCTGGGAGATTTAGCATATCTATTCTGTATAAACTTTTCACAAACTCTCCACAATCATCATCTTCCAAATATTTTTGCCCTACTCTCTTCAATGCTCCCAGCTATGCCCTAGGAAGCTGAAAAACTGATGAACAGATGTTCTTCTGGTTGGAAGCCTTTCAGAGCAATGTTATAAGCATGCCCCATAAGCTTCTTATAAATTGCCATCTGTAGTTACTTTGTAGTCAGAAATATGAAAAGTTCATAACATTTGGGGTAAGGAATATAGAGTGAATGCCCTAAACACTGACTGTATAAAAGTCATTTGTCCTTTGGGCTTTTATTCTCCATAAGATCTGTGGAACTGAATTAGCATGCCTTTATTTCCTCGCTATAGATGAAGTGGGCTGTGTAGATCCAGCAATCTGTGAAAAAGTCTGTGGAGCTAAAGTGGGATGTTCCAACATTGCCTATCCTAAGCTGGTAATGGAACTCATGCCCGTTGGTGAGATAAGTTTCATTCAGTCCAAGAGGGAGGGGGCATTCTGAATCGGCTAGATTAGGACTCACTTGCTGATGGAAGCTAACTCAAGTTTCTTTTTGGTTTCTTAGGACTCCGTGGTCTCATGATTGCTGTGATCATGGCTGCCCTGATGAGCTCTCTTACCTCTATTTTCAATAGCAGCAGTACACTTTTTGCCATAGATATCTGGCAGCGGCTTCGCAAGAAGGCTACCGAACAGGAACTTATGATTGTTGGAAGGTAATTTTTCTCTTGCTACAGTTGTGTGCACTTACCTGAATGGCTAGGGCTATGGGAGTTGAAATTCAGCACTTCTGGAGGTAGCATATTTGCAAAGGTTAATTTGATGTGCTCAACTCCACATTATATGCTTCAGCATCTGGTTCGCTACTTCTGTTGCAGCTTCATGTATCAAACTGCCAAGCATTCTTTTCAGGGACTTCTGATAAAATGTTGTTGGAGCCCAAATAATTCTACAGTTGCAAAACAGCAATGGAACCCTTTCTCATAGAATCAAAAGTGTGCTAATATAAACCCCACTCCTAGCAAGGGCATTGTGCTCAGCTTTAAATAAGAGCTGAAGCAGCCCAAATAGAACCACCAAGCCCCTGATCCCAAAGCAGATGTCCATACCAACCACTGCCCTCCAGAACTGGTGCCTTCAAATCTCCATCCACAGTTCTTCAGTGTGGGCAATTAGCTATGTGCTTTTAAACATTCAAGGGATTGTCTTGCAGAAATCAAAGTGACTTCTGTATGTAAATTTTCATAGTCAAAGCAGATGCCCCATATCTATGGGATGTGAAGTAACCATTTTCAACAGTAGTTTTGCTTACATCTTTTAATAAAATCCTTCCCTTTTCACCTTTTTGATTCATGAAATACATGTTGTATCTGAAGCTTTAAAATGCATTTTTGTTTAGTTTCCCCAAAGCCTTTCTGTCAAGCAATGCAATGATTCTCTCCCCACCCTGCTTTCCAAGGAGTTCCATGAAAAGAGTTAGATTGTTCAAGTTGTGCAAAAGTAACCATCCTTTCTCCTCTTATCTCAGGGTGTTTGTTCTGATTCTCGTTGCCATTAGCATCCTTTGGATCCCCATCATCCAGACAGCCAATAGCGGTCAGCTCTTTGACTATATTCAGTCAATAACCAGTTACCTAGCGCCACCCATCACTGCTCTGTTTATCCTAGCAATCTTCTGCAGGAGGATCAATGAGCCAGTAAGTACAGAATCAATGAGAAGGTTCATATGAATAATAGTATCTTCCCAATGTCATCATTTCATAGTTTTTAAGGGCAGACAAGACCATTCATTACAATTATATTGACTCCTGAATGCAACATCTTTGGAACTTAGTCCCATTAGAGCACACTATCACTTTAAAAAGATTCTTAAGACTTTGATTACTGGTTTAACGAAAGATAGTGACAGGCTCAGGAAGGAATGGAAAGGAGGAGGAGAAAGAAATATTATAAAGAATTGCATTCTATTATTTTCCCCCAATGTTTAGAAAGTAATTCTTATTCTGAGACAGAATTTCCCTGCCTTTAATCTTCCAGCCATCAAATCTCCTTTGATTTGAGACTTCAAGAGAGCAGAGCCTTATATAATTATGTGGGAGATCTATCCACAGGAATCAAGTCCTATTTCACTAGTCTCTTTTCAATAAACTTAATAAATAGCTTTTCTTCTTAGAATTTTATATCCTTGTATCAGCAAGTCAAATTAAGGTAAGTTCCGTAATTCCACACAAGCCAGCTTCTGCTTAATTTGCTGTGAGAGTCAATAATCACAATGCAGTTATTCCATGATGCAACCCCCCTTCCAAATAACATGTCCTTTACTTTTTACAGAACAATAGCTGTGCATGCCCCAAACCCATGATGTTTAACAAAATTTCAGTAGAATAGAAAATAGAAAAATCATGTCAAATATTGACTACACAATAATACAAGCCCAATTGATGGAGAGTTGGTGGGAAAAAGTAAACTATTGTTTTATTTTTGGCAAAGAAGATGAATTACACAAAGAAACAACTAAAACAACAACAAAGTGAACCTGTGATCTGGATTCCAATAAAACATACTGTTGTACAATTTTTATTTTACCTTTAATTTATCATTATATCTCAGAAAGTTGGAATACCCCAGTGTTAGGTTACCAGATCTGGGGTGCAAAAATCTTGATAGCAGCCAAGAGGTATAGAAAACTCTAACATCTTGCTGCCATTCAGATTTTGCAACCCAGATCTGGTAAGTCTCTCAATAACTTATAGGTAAAATAATGTGTTGAATAAATGACTTAGAAAACTAAACTGAGATTTAATATAAGACATTCTACATTTAGGGCTATATCTAGGCTGCAAATTCTTACTAGATGACAGTAAAGAGATACAGCTACCATCCCATGATCTTCAGATTTTTGCAGTCCAGAGCTGGGAGCCCTGTTAGATTTATACATCACTGTTTGTTGTTGAGACAACAGAGGTTCTCATAAACAATATCTCTGTGTTACAATTTAAGCATTGTAAAATGTTTAATTTTAAATAAAAATATTTTAAACTATTCGTCCCCCAAAAATAAACATGCAAAGAAAATCTTGGATCTCATTCACTGTAAACTCAGTAATGAAGCCTACAAACAAATTGATGTTTCCAAGATTTATGTCAATAACATGATCTCTCCATATTTTTCCTAGGGAGCTTTCTGGGGCCTAATGTTTGGATTAGTAGTGGGTTTTATTAGGATGGTTATGGAATTTATCTACACAGCACCCTCATGTGGCGAGGAGGATCAAAGACCATCTGTGTTGAAAGATGTTCATTATCTGTACTTTGCTATTCTTCTGTTTGGGCTCACAGTTGGTGTTATAGTCTTCGTGAGCCTCTGCACACCACCAATTCCAGAAGAAAATGTAAGTGACATTCTAGGGTGAAATCTATTGTTACAAATCTATGTTTAGCCTCTGATTGCTTTGTTATCTTCAGAGGCATTGTGTTTTGAATAGTTATATTCTAGTAAACTCTTGCTCTACAAAGTTCTTCCTTGAAATTATCTTGCTTCCAAAGTATTATGGAATTAAAAATAGATATATTTCAAATGGAAATGGAGAACAGGCTTGTTTCCATGCTGTGAAGCAACTAATGCACATGCCATCAAGAAAAGAGGCAGACAGTGGGGAAGAAATTATATTACAACAGGCAGCTGAAGAAGGAATGTAATGGCTCTAATTGAACCCTCTTTCGTATTTCAGTAGAGACAGCATCAATCTTGTGAGCTAAAAAGATTAATATTGTTGGAGCTCTGGCATTTAGAAAGAGCATTTCATTCCAAACCAATCTCAATTACATTGTACAATCAAAGTTTAGTAACAAAGAATTTTATTTCTTTTGCTGCTTAAAACAGACACAAAAAGTTTTATTTTGGCAAGTACCTAAACATATCATTTAAATATCACTGGTTTTGTGGAGTAAGTTTGTGCTTCATTAGATTTTTGTCGTCCATGTAGGAAGCTTTCATATCCTGCTGTAGGTGGAGCTACAGAATCTTCTGAATTCAAAACATGTGCCCCACAATTTTCATACAGTATTTCTAAATATAATATTGTATAAATAAAAGTTTAGATCATACTCTTGGTTGAAACCTGTGGGCATGTTTCTTGTGGTTTTCACAGTTCTTTCAACCAGGTCTACCCCTATGTGTTAGCTTTAAAGAAGAACAAGACAAAGAGAAGTAAAAATAATGTTGTACCACTTATGTTGGTGCTGAGGAACACCCAAATACTCTTTGCATAGGCAACCACAAGGTAGAGGGGGAGCAGACCACAGAAGAAATCTATGTTGCAACTGTAACACTAACTCTATCTCTTATGTGCTTGGGTGCAATCTCATGATGTAAGTATGACATTTCATCTTTTTGGTGTTGTCCTGATCAGTTGTATAATGCCTATTCAGGAAACTGTAGGGGATGTCATTATACAGGCAGGATATAACAGTAATCTGAGCTCCAGCCATGAATCTCTTTTAAAAAGAATAAATAGGTTTATTTTAGAGTTATAACATTTGTTGCACTTAAGCTGGTTTGAAATGTTTTGTAGCTTCTGCTGAAAAGCATGGGAGTGGGGGAGGGAAAGAAAGCAGAAAAGAAAACCAGTTGGTGTAGTGGCTAATGTCTTGAACTAGGAATTGAAAGACTGTGACTTGTAGTCCTCCCAGGGTTGTTGTGGTGAGGAAAATAGGAGGCTGGAACATTATGTACACTGCCTTGGGTTGTACAAAATACAGGCAGGATAATAAATAAAGTTTCAACCACTTGTTCTTGCTTGGATCCTTCTGTATTCTCCATCTCTACTGGACTCTAATCATATTGGCCAGAATATATATATATATATTCCTGAAAATATTCTTTAGGAAAGATGTGGATCATCAAATCAAAGCAATTTAGCACAATGTGACAAGAAGAATTAGCCTTGCCTGATGCTTATCTTGGTTGAAAATAATTTAAATAAAGCAATAAATCTTCTGAAGATTATACAGATTTTTGTGTCAACTGGAAATGTCTTCTACATTTTGTGCCTGAAATTCAAACTGTTTAAACTATTCTTCATTTATAAGGCACCTTTTGAGAGTTACTTGAGGGTCTGCACTATGAATATATTTTTACAGAAGCAGCTTTGGGAGGAAGCAACCTGAAGCACAGAATAAGCAGAAGAAGGATGTGTGGCCATTCAATAAAATAAAAAGAGTACAGTAATAATTAAAAAAAAATAAAACTGTAGAAAAGCCAAGAAAAAAGGATTTGGAAATAGCTTAGCTTTAGAAATAGTTTCCGGTGCATGTATCAAAGGAAAGCTTTATATAAATAAATATACACTCCAAAAAAATTACAAAGTTATATGCTGTTGAAAAGTCATACAGAACAGTATCAATCAGGCATGTTGTATTCTTCTCTAGCCTAGCAGTTTTGGTTAAAATTGAAGATACCTAATTCCAATTAGTGTGCCCTGCATTTAAACTTTAGACAGTGTTTGATTGGGGCCCATTTTTGCATAAAAATGTGGTATGTGCACCTTTTTCTAAGATACAATTTTACATTGATTTGATATTGGGAGATAGTAGATTCAGTGGGATTTATAACTCAATAGAATTATATAAGATTGTGCTTAAATGTCTGCAAAGCCAGTAGCAATATATCCTATCTGATGCATGTAAAGTGATAGTCACATAACTTTTTGTCCATCCTTGTTTAACCATCAGATTCAAACTGTTCTGTAACTTTTTTTTTCTTGTTTCTAATTTACAATTATCCAGCTTGCCCGATTAACGTGGTGGACTAGATACAGCGAAACACCTGAAAAACATATTGAGAGCTGCGCCCATCAAAATGTAGAAATTACTTCCCAAAAGGAGGAGACGGATTCAGTAATTTTGTCATCAGAGAATGTAGATTTAACAGACAAAGAACATGGAGGTGGGTAGTATTTCCTTCCTTCCTTCCTTCCTTCCTTCCTTCCTTCCTTCCTTCCTTCCTTCCTTCCTGCCTTCCTTCCTTCCTTCCTGCCTTCCTTCCTTCCTTCCTGCCTTCCTTCCTTCCTTCCTGCCTTCCTTCCTTCCTTCCTGCCTTCCTTCCTTCCTTCCTGCCTTCCTTCCTTCCTTCCTGCCTTCCTTCCTTCCTTCCTGCCTTCCTTCCTTCCTTCCTGCCTTCCTTCCTTCCTTCCTTCCTTCCTTCCTTCCTTCCTTCCTTCCTTCCTTTTACAAAATCTCAATACAGCAATTAAGATTAAAAAATATGAAATACAATCCAAAAAAAAAGCAAACAACAATAATAATCCTGACCACTCATCCCCACTAATTCATGAGACCACATCTTTTGAAGAATAATTAGTCTCTATTAGCCCTCTTAAAGAACCAGGTCTTCACAATTCTCCAGAATGCCAGTAAGGGTGAGGCAATTGCTATCTCCAGGGATAAACTCTACAGAGGGTCATCACTGAAAAGATTTACCACCCAGGGGCCCTAATGCTCACATTATCTTGGCATTGGGGCCCACAACAAGCCCACCCTCTTGGATCTCATGTTGTGTGTTCTTATACCTAGTGTTTATTTTCCAGAGTCTACTGGAGGCAAGAAATATGTTCTTTTAACACAACTGACTACAAATGAATGGAAAGCATATTCCAGCAATCTTTATTCCATCTGTTTAACATAGTGTCAGCCAATAAAATGTTGCAACAGCTTTTCCAGGTGCACTGTACAGCACACCTGGAAGGTACCAGATAGGGGAAGATGAATTATAGATTACACTGTGCTTTATAGGATACATATACTGTAGAGTTAATTTTTTTCCAGGTTGCAGGAAGCCATAAAGAAGGGCTACACTCAAGACAGGGCAAAGCCCAAATCCAGGGCAAATTATGGCAATTTGGGTGGCTCTTACTTGCCCTGTGCTGATTCAGAAACATCTGTAAAACTTCAGTCTTCTCCCTCCAAAAGTTCACCAGTACCTCAAATGGCAAGGCCATGGAATTTTGCCAAATGGGATGAAAAAATAAAGAAAATATTGACATTTGGCATGAATGAGAGGGGAAAGAGGAGGCACGTTGATTTCAGTGATCAACATATCTATTGTCAAATCTGTGACTTTTGGATGGGTAGTACAATCACAGTGAAAAAGCCTCACAGACATTGATGGGACATCATAGTAAACTTACTGGAGAGATTGAGAATGGTAGGGCAGAGGCCAATCTCAATCAAATTGCAAGGGCAAAGAATTACTAGGAGTTTTGGGAATACTGCAGCAGTGGCCTGAGCTATGGTCAAACAACATAAAACAAACATTCAAGTTTTAAGTGCCTATTTTGCTGGGCCCCATGTAAGTGTGCAATCAGTTTGGAAGAAACCAGAGTTGCTGAAGAGATAGCCATGGGGTATGAGAAATATTGTTGGCCCTTCTATATCCCTGTGCTAATGTCCAATCTGTTCCACCTCTCTTTAGAAATTTGGACTTCTTCCTCCATGGTTATATACTCTAGTGGACTTTTACAGTCTCAAGCTGAAGCCTCTATATAACAAATTCCCCTGAATTTTGGGGTGGGGGAAGTTGACCATTCCAAAAGGAAAGAATAACCGCATTGTAGTGACTGGACCCTAACCATTTTCTCAATCAGAGCACAGGGAGGAAAAAAACAAATGTCCCTGATAGTAATAGAGTTCTTTAATGATACAAGGATAATTTTTCAAGCCAGAACAGAACTATGTTTTCCTGAATCTGTTTCCAGAACAAAGACTGAATTAGGATGGAGTTATTTTGGTCCACCAGGGCAGGTTGGGCTATTTCCAGAGCAAACAGATCAGACATACTTGGCACAGCCCTATGCAATTGTATTAGAGGAATAGCAGAATGGCTTGTTAATGGTTTCTTCTCCAACTCGCAGGGTGAAAGCCTATATTTAGATTTGTTTTCAGAATAGGTGGTCAGCATCAGCTCTGGTGATATGCAAAGTTTTACCTGCCACAGCTGTTTCTTATACTTGCAATAAAATGGATTATCCTTCATGGATTATAGCATAAGTTTATGCATAATGTGCCATCCTTTGCATAATAAAATATGATTGGTGGAAACAATGTATAAAACTGTATCTGAACAATTTTATACCAAAAATAGACAAAGTGGGACTATAATATGTTTGGAACTTCTATGAAACAATATTATGAATGCGTCTTTAAAAAATAACCAATACTGCTACAAAATGGAGTCATCCATCTGTCTATGGGTGAGTAAAAAGGGAAGATATTTTTATTAATAAAGAGGGAAAACAGAAATCAAATCTGCCTGCCAGTTTCAAAATAATCCTACCAAAAATAAATGATCCAAGGGAGAAATGATTCAATCAAATATTAAATACCAATGTATTAAATGTCTACTACCTTGGTCTAAGAAATTGCTTTTTTGTCTGGGAAGTTGGAAAATTTTGGCAAGAACTATGAAATGGTTTCAGGCAAGATGAAAGAAATAACTTCAGATGTGGTTGGGAATAGAAAGAAAATATAGGGAGATTATAAATAGAAAGAAGTGGTAAGACACAGTTACTACTACAGATCCCTAGCCATGAACAATGGATTAAGGCTGTTCAGTGCTCTGGATATGATTCCAGAACGGTGCTTCAGACCACATAGAAGTGTATGTGCAGCACCAGTCAGTAACTGTGGAGTCCTTGGGGTTCTCTGAGCTTGGTTGTTTTCTTGCAGACGTTTCATTACCCATCTAGGTAACATCTTCAGTGCTGCACCGAATACGATAATAGATTGTCATGGAGTTTTTCTCCATGATGATTTATCCCTAACCTGGTCCTTCAAGTCTTCCAGTGGTAAACCCATTGCCAGTCTAACTGAGTCCACCCATCTTGTTGCTGGTCATCCTCTTCTTCTCTTTCCTTACACCTTTCCCAGCATTAGAGATTTCTCTAGAGAGTTAGGTCTTTGCATAATGCGTCCAAAGTAGGATAATTTATGCCTGGTCTTTTGTGCGTTGAATGAGAACTCTGGGTTAACCTGTTTGATAATCCATTTGTTTTCTTGACTGTCCATGGTATCCTTAGGAGTCTTCTTCAACAACAACATTCAAAAGCGTTAATACTCTTTCCATCTGGCTTCCTCAAAGTCTAACTTTTGTTTGTTAGAGTGTCACAGGGAATACCATTGCACTATTCGGATCTTTATAGAAATAGACATATCATGGCATATGCCAAGGCCTTCATGGCTGCTCCACTAAGTGCTAGTCTGCAGTGTATTTCTTGATTGCTGGTTCCTTTACGGTTGATAGTTGATCCTTAAAGGATGAAGCTATCCACCACTTCAGCATCTTCATTGTCAGTTTTAAGGCTGGTTGTTCTACCAGTTGTCATTAGTTTGGTCTTCCTTATGTTTAATTTTAGTACCATTTCTTTTATTGTGCTGCCTTTATTACTAGAGCCTTAAAATCCTTTGCATTTAGCAGAATAATGTCATCAGCATAGCATAGGTTATTGATGTTTCTTCCTCTAGTTTTAAAACCACATTTTCTTCTTTTAATCCTGCTTCCTTTTTCATGTATATTCAACATGTAGGTTGAATAAATAATGGGAGAGTGTACAGCCTTGTCTCACTCCTTTGCCACCCTGAAGCCAATTTTTAAATATTTTTAATTTTTTTTTATTACTAGATGTAATTCTATTCAAATGTAGTTTTATATTTTGTATACTGGGGATACATTAAATGGCTGGTGGTATATAAACATTTAAATAAAATAATAGTTTTCCTATCCCCACTCTAGTTCTTGCTGATCTAAGTTGGGCAAGTATCTACCCTCTACTTATGATAAGTGACTTTTCATTCATGAAATTGTGCACTTAGAATTCCTTGACCCAAAATTTAGCGTCTGAGAACTAAAGTACGTTTATGCACACTTTAAATTCCAATTGCTTGAAGTACATAAATTGAGAGAGGTAAGCTAAGGTAAGAAGGAAGTATCTTAATTATAATCAGCAGTTCTTCATTTTGGGAGCATTCAAAAGAATTAAATTTGATAGCTACTAAGGAATGACAAGAAGGAAACCAGACTTCATAATCTGAAGGTCTGGTGGGTACTTTGATTCACATTTGAAGCAGCTGGTCGAACTAAAGTTGTTAATTATTTGTCACCTTTGTTTGGACATGAGCCATCTCATCCGTCCTCACATCTGAGTATCAACAATTATCTTGATTATTAGGTTATTAGCACCAATTGTAAAAGAAAAGTAACATCTTTTCATGCAAAAATATAATTGTGTTTTATTACAGTTACCACAATTTATCACAAGGAGAGAGAGACTTTGTGTGGGTGTGTTTATCCAATTTTATTTTCTCAGAGAGTTCTGAAAGCTCAGTTGAATTTCCATTCTTCTAGTAGCTTAACGGGTCAAATTTTTGTAAATCCCCTCCCCCCATCAC